CACTATATGAATAGCATATTAATATTATACAGATTTTTACGATAGTCCGTTTCAGTATGTATAATACGTTTTTTTTTATAAAATAACAGACTTGTTTCGAATTTTCTCGTCTATTCATTTCTATTTTATCGATTTAACTATCTCCGTGTATGACTATATAGAACAATACTTTTTTGTTTCCGACCAGTAAAGTATAGTACGACTATACAACATTATTTTTTTTTCGCATTTGTTCTTTATTTACTCTGTTTGGTATATAGGTATAACAGTATAAGAGCTTATCGGACGTGGGACGACATGACGTAAAACGGTTTCCATAAGGGTTCGATTATAATTTTCGACCGATACGGAAGTTTTGTTTACGCCATTTTTAGAGCCATCTACACGTTTTAATGTGAGACACAAAATATTATTTTACGGTTAACGGTTTTATTAGTAGATTTTTTTTCTTTCGGAAATTCGATTATACAGGGTGATTCTTTTATCAAACAACACTTATATGGTGTTTGTGTGTAAATACCGCCTAACATACACCTATAACACACAAACACCGCCCAAAACCACCMAACTTTGGGAGGCTATATCTTGTAAACGGATTTACGAAAAATGAAAATTTAAACGTGAAAATTCATTGAATAAAAATWGTCTTTTTAGTTTATGAAATTTTAAGACAAGTGTAGGTTGTCATTTGAAAATCAAAAGTTGATAATGGTTAACCTGATAAATATAAGGGTGAAWATATTTAAAAAATATATAGTTCTAGAACAAGATGGTTTTAAAATTTAGAAAAAAGTCAATAGTTTTTGAAATAATGAGTGTTGTTTGATAAAAGAATCACCCTGTGCATATCTCATCGTGTTAACTGTTTATATTTCGGATACTGTTGTAGTGGCGGTTCGAGTTCCTCTCTAGTGTATCGTTTTATATATATAAACCTTTTTATATACCTACTTGCACATAATATCGGTATTTATTAATTTGCATTAGGTGAACATGTGTTGATATTTATGGCCTACCGTGTTAAGCGTAACAATATATATATATATATATATATATCGTTAATCTGATCGTTTTAGTATTAAGTTACGAACACTGTAATACGTAATAAAATTCCATCTATGAAAATCGATATCGTAGTTACTGGCTCCTTGCCGAGAGTACTATATACATGTATATATATATATTATATATTGTATATTGTACATATACAAGATATTTTTTAAGAATCTTAGCAGTCTTAAAACTAAAATATTATTATGCACAATTTTAAGATATATTTTTATTTTTTCAAYGTCTTGAATAKCACAGACAGTAAAATGTATTCTATTTTTCAACTTTGATCCAAACCATGATCGTATACTTTTAACGTCTAAAGTTACATAAGTAAACTGTTATATACATATTATATGATAAATATATGCATATATAATGTTTAATATGTCACGTATAATACAATCATTATTATGTGTCATATCCTAAACTTTTTTATGTATCATATTTTTATGTTCAATACATTTTTCAACCATTTTTTAAAATAAACAATATATACCTTACCTATTGTTAACATAATTAAATCCAGTATATCATATAAGTTTCCACAAAGGCATCAGCACTGAGTTGACAGTTACCAACGTCCTCAACCTCGCTGCTCAGGCAGCCGTCACCCTTGCCAAAAAGAGTTTGTGCATCCTGGTGACCCTGGATATCAAAAATGCCTATAACTCCTTGGGGTGGCCAGTGATCGAAGCCGCTCTTAGGGGCATTCAAACGCCTGAATACCTGGTAGAGATGTTCAGGTCATGAMTCTCTGACAGGGTGCTGCTAACCGGAGCTGAGAGGACCTTCAGGTCAGTCACGTGCGGGGTTCCACAGGGATCCGTCCTCGAACCGGCTCTGTGGAATGTCGCATATGACGTTCAACTGAAAATAGTCAGCTATATTAGGGAACGCGGAGGAGTCATTTTGGCTGTTCTATAGGATGGTCGAACGCATCTTCTCACTTAAGGAAGAAGAGGAGCGAGTTCGCYAGGCCGCGGAGGTGYGGCAGTGAGATCCTGACGCAGAATCCRGACATAAATTTAGTTAATTAAGCAATTTATTGTACCCGAAAGCRCCTAGGGAGGCAGGGCTTCTCAGTATTGTAYCCATAACTTGAAAAATATTGTTGTAATATTAGTGAGTGGGGGATTGTCCCACCTCTAATAATTGTCGATTTAATTTAATCTATAAACGATGGGAGTCAGAGGAGAAGTAATGCTAACSCGTTTCCATCTCTGGCTCTCGATACAAAACAAAAAAAAAAGTATATCATATAAGTAGAAAGGTATTTTTTAATTTGACATTTTTACGATAAATTATTTTTGTAGCAGGGTGGCATCAAATTCATACTTAAATTATATTGCAGAAATAAAATATTYAACCCAGACACACTCACCATCCCTTGAGCTTTATTTATTATACAATTAATAATAACTAATTGGAAAATATATACGTCATATAAGTGCCACCTCTAAAAATGTATATTCATTCCATAATACTTGATTATTAATTAATTATATTCACTGCAGGATTGTAGCAACTGATTTTTAGCTAKTTCGGAACACTTTAATTAAWTGTGACAAATTGTTTATACTTTGTGTTTATTGATCAGAGCAAATAATGAAAATAAATAATAACCATACAGTTTATTTTTATATATATTTGTACTTTTCCGCAGTTTGGTTTAAAATTATATTTTTCTTCAAAGTTTATACATATTTTATACTGTTCATATTTATTCGATCTGTAATGTATCAGATGCATTTAAATATTGTTTATTTTAATAAATGRCCAGACTTTTTCTTTATTATTATTAATAATAATGAATGAAGGACCTGTTTAATCACTGAAATTTCCTTGAGGCTTTCATTATATTTTCTTGTATCTAATACATATTGTAACAATATCGCGTGCAGCAAGTAACGTGTTATAACTTTGTTGATGTCTAAAAGAATATTATAATGTTTACATATATTGCATTTTACGTTGTTAGAGTTTTTCCTTTGCTTTCCATATTAGACGGGTAATTTTTATTTTTACGTAACACAATTAATTCATGGAAATATAATTTTCTTCTTTCTTACAAAACGTTAACAAACAATTTAGCAAAATAAAATTATTTATTTAGTATAGATGATTTTTAACATTTAGGCTAAATTTAAAAAATACTGCCTTCAATATTATATTATGTTAAATGAGTAATTTAAAGAAAATTTCAAATGTAACCGCGACAGTAAGAATTACGGTTTTACGGAATTACGGTCACTGAAGATCTAACTAAACACATTTTGCTACCATATACCAGATACTTATAAATCAAGGTTTAAAAAAAAACATAAAGATATATCAATGTCGACTATTCGTCTATATTAAGTTCACATAATATGAAAGAATTTATAGCAGTACATAATAAATTTACCTAAAAACACTTTTGAATAAGCGAAAGGATAAACCTATACTTGCCACACGTAGCGATTGGCGATTGGGTATGTATCTGSAGGTATAGTTGATACGCGTATACACATGTAAAATATATAGTTACGCTATAAAACCAATAACTCACCTACTTGCCCACTTCACTGAAAATCTAAAATGTTGTTAAATTATTAAAAAAGTTGTTTTCTATGCTTTTCTACCCTTTTTTTATCTTATATTTAAAACAAAAAACTACCGATCGGTTCTTGTGTATATTACCATTGATTTTAGAATATATTCTAAAATCAATGATATTACATAATATATAGGTACGCTTGTATGTAATAATATGTAGCAATTAATACATTTAACTTGATCCTTTTTTTTAAATTGTAAATAATTTTATTCTATTATAATATGCCTGTGTGCTTATRACTTTTCAAAAYGTTGATCAAAAATGCGGTGTTGAATGATTCAACTTGAATCATCACTTGATACTTGTAACCAGAGACTTAAACTTTATAAAACTTAACCTTTCCATTACATAATGATGTATTACCATCCGAGATAGTTTAACTTATATAATAGTTATCAATCTAAAGCCCAAGTGACCTGGTTTATTTTTATGATTAACACTAGTTATTACTAATGTACTAATTCGCATACTAAAATTATATACATATACACAAATCGAATCAACTACCATATTAATATGTAGATACTCCATAATTAGCGTTAATTATTATCACATATTTATATTATACGTAATTGGCTATATGTAATTGCCATCATATAGTCTGTTTTCCGCTGCTTATCTCTCTTGACGAGTATATGTTTATATATTTATATTTTTTATGATTCTAGACAATTTTAAATCCGTTTAAAACGAACCGACGGATATATGATAATGTTATACAATTTATTATACTCTTATACTATAGTATACTATTGCGGATATCGAGTCATAAATTACCTATATAAGAAGAATGMAATTGGGTTCGGGTACCTGTATTGGTGCACTTCTGATTTTCCAYCGAAAACATATTGTATTATATTGTAAGCCGTTATTGGAATTTATTATTTATTCAGCATAGCGAAGATTTCGATTTAAACGAGACGTACAAAAAACGTGCTGATCCTGACATTTCTGTTCTATCTGGTCKATTATTTTTTTTTAAGCTCAACTGACTATTCTCTCTGTTACGGCACTCAATTTATTAGGAGGTTTGTTTAAAAGTGCATTTTACAGGACGTTTCACACATTGCACAATATATGCATAATTAATTGATAACTATTATTATGATAAGTATAAAATGTGTGATTTATTATTAGTATTATTTKCTCTCATTTTTTTCGAATCAGTACGATATTATAAAAATAAGATAAAATTATCGTTTAATGACGAGATTGTTGTAGAAATATTTCAATTGCGTTGTATATAACACCTTACATGCTTAAAAATATGCAAATATATATATAAACATTACACTACATTTTACTTGCCTTTGTATATTTATTTTTTTTTAAATTTAAAATCTGTTCACAGGAAGTGATTGACGAGTATTTAGAAAGGTCAAAACGTCGAGGATCGGACTACAAAGAGATCGACGCGAAATGTCTGCGATGGCGGCCACGTTCAGCAGCCCCCGCCCCAGCCGGGCCCACATGAAATATACCCGTTCGCAGTAAGTGGATATATAATATTATTAGTGTTACTATAAATATAAAATACTATTTTTTTTTTTTTTAACAACTTTTCCATTGAATAAACCATTGTTTAAAGTATATATAATATATATACCTATGTTATGAAGAAGGAAAAATTAAACATCAATTAATTGAGATTCGCCGCAGATTATGTTTCATCGTTAGCCACGATAAATGTTGATGGTTATATTATTATGGTGAAATACAGTTGTATAATAATGTATAGTAAAGTATATTTATGCAACACTGTTGTCGCCTTTACCTCGAAAATAATAATCGATATAAGCAGTAGATGTTTTATAAATTAAATCAAATATCGAAAAGTTGTTCCATGATTTCTGACTTTTAGAGTATAACAATTACTCGTTATAATTTATAATATAGTCGACAAAGCAATGGCGATGTTCTCGAAATGGCTAATACCTACAGATTTTTACCTAAACATAAAACAAATTAATAAACTAAGTCAGTACGTTCCAACACCCTAATACGTTCTAATTATTAAAACAAGGTCTTCAGAGAAAAATTATTTTACTTGTACGTCAGATCATTAMATTTCATAAAAGTATATCAACTTCAGGTTATCTATATAGTCAGGATACTCTATTGTGTTGCCAGGGAAATAAATTCGAAAAAAATGAGTTTGTAATTGAAATATAATATTCAACGTAGTTATATATTCCATTTACGTTTGTTGATAGTTGGATCGTTTATATACTTACAAGTAACCAGCAAAATAAAAATAATAATAAATAATTGTTTACTATAGTGTTGTGGACTTGTGGTCACGTTTTACTAAGCTTAATTACGAACTAACTTGATTTATACATCTATAGTTCGTTCAATGGATACGTCTAACTGTATTATTATTTGACCCTGCTGATAAACTGTTTCAATACATTTGAGCGGATTGTGTATTTTTATTTTTATTTTTTCATAAATGTTAAGTTTTTTCACTTAACATTTTTTGAGAGGTAATATTTGGCAACGTTAGTTTGAAGTTATTTATCAAACTTATTTTGGATGTATTCCGATATTCGTCTTTAAAATCAGRACACTTTTTGACTTAACATTGAATAGTTCATTCGTGGTTAATTTTTGCAGATATTTAAAATGTAAGCCTTTTCTTCCAACACTTATCCGTGCCAATTTTCATAGATAAATCCTTTTAGTACACRATACGATACCACTTCATCTGATTTGACCTTATGCTTCATTACTCATTTCGAATCATTTGGAAAACTACATATTATGTATATTATTATATTATGTACAATATATACGTCGGGGCTTCCGTTTCTACCGTTTTCGCAGTTTTGCACATTATATAGGGCACCGCGTTTTCCTGTGTAGGTACTTCCGGAATACCATTGTAGTATGGTGAAACGGACAGAACACCTAATTGCTTCTCTTCTTATATTTTTATCGATGACAATATGAAATCAAACGTATATGTTTTTCAGCTAAAGTATTTGTGCACGACCTCAACATTCAAAATATCGCTGCGTAAATCAGATACGTAACTCAGATATAATGGTTTTTGAAAAAATAAAGTTAGGCGTGGTAAAAAATGTTTTGAATTTCAAAAAAGAGAATAATAAAAGGTATTCAAAAAAAATTTTATTTCTGAATAATAGGAAAGAAATAATCGGTATACTTAATTAAAAAAAAAAACAAACACAATTGTCCTATTTTAATAAACATAAAATACCTACGTAAACATAACATTTTTATATAAAAACGYGTGATTGTGTGACCGAAATGTCTATGGTATATAATATTATATTATATACTATATATATTAATCAAATAGGTACGGAATTAAAAAGAAAAATGTCAAAACGTGCATCATAACGATATTCTATGATATAAAATAATTCATTATAACTTATAACATATATCATTACCGGAGTTGTAGTATACCGTCGTGTATATGTGGCCTATGGTTGGAACTGATGTATATATTATTATACTATTATGTACCTACAATCTATGCGCGACTACGTGGAAATGTGCATCAACTTCCGGGCCACTCTACGCATATAATAATAATAATAATAATAATATATGCACGCATAATATAATTGTGTGATGCGAACTGCATCACTACGCCGTCCCTCGAGGTCGGTCGGGGAGTTGGCTGCATAATATTATATATATATATATTCCACGTGGGCGGCCTGGCGTTTTCGCGTTTGCGTTTTGACACTCGAGATTATAATTGCCGCGCGTGAATTGCGACGCGCGCACAGGTCGCCCCGACTATTATTATTATTTTCAAATTACAAATCGCGCTCGCTACTCGAGTGCACTCTACGAGATGAGGTACAAAGGCGGCACTACTCGCGTTACGACGACAGTGGTTGCAGCCTTTTGATTTTCTAGTCACATGTCGCATTTCGCGGTATTTAACTATATACGTTTAAATATGGTGATGAGGTTGGGAGGGGAGGGGCGGAAACGCGCATCGTAGCAGCGGTGTGGTAGGTCCGCGTGGAACCGGAAATGGCGACGTGAAACATCAGAAAACGGCGTGARTGAGTTGCGTTCCTTGTTATAATAAAGTAACTTCCGAAAATCGGTTGTGACCCACTCGGTTAATCGAGTGAGAGACGATTACCAGCTCGTTAACCGGCACGATCAACACATACGCGTAGTACTCATTTGCTTGGTCGAACGATGCGAGGATGGTACTTAATATAATTCTTGATTCCGTTGAAAATGGACCAATTGCTTCGTATAAATTATCCATAATTAATTTATGGCTTCGTTCAAGTTTTGGTRCTAGACAATGATGTACTTGATGGAGTTGTTTGTGTTACTTGTTGGGCATAAGAGTGGATCTTTCTTTGTCATAAGRTGTCCATCATATGTGAATTTGGTGTGATAAATTGTTACTTGTTAATCGATTAAGAGAATAGCCTCTTTTTTCTATTTAAATCTACGTAATATTATGTATTTCGGCCAGAGTTCAACAGAATGTTTGATTTCTCTTAAATTATTTCCCGTCGATATATGTCATTTATCTAATAATTAAATATTTTTTTTTTTTTACATTTTTAGTATTTTAAGTATACATTTTCTACATTCAATTAAATTGTACAATTCTGTTTTTTTAAGAATAAAATTAAGTTTTTTACATCCTGTGGGTTTGGTCCAAGTGCTTGACAGATTTGTTCGGATATGTGAAATTGATTTCGATACAGGTTGTATTTTTGACATTCAGTGATGATGTGGTTGACTGTTAAAAGTACGCTGCATGACTCACATATAGTGGAGGATCGTCTTTACTCATCAAGTAGCTGTGTGTTAAGTGTGTGTGACCAATTCGGAGGCGATTTATTATGGTTTCATCTTTTCTAGTGAGTTCAGGATTTTTCCATGGGTTTATATTATTAAATTAAATAACTATTATAATATATTACATAAAAATGTATTACAAAAATGATATGTTATCATACAATTCATACATACGTTCCTTTGTATATTATATTAATGTCTGCAGACGTTGTCTATATTTTAACGACAAACGTAGGTAATGAAATACCAGCAACAGCATTTGCTGAACATAATATAAAATGAAACTTAACCTTATTTTACCTATATAATATAGTATGCGTTTATCGTTTGTGATGACATTATATCAATGTAAAAAATCTTTTCGTTGCACTTCTATCTGAGTCGAAACTCTTCTTGTATGAGACCTCAGATATAAATATTATATCATATCACTACAGTTATCTTCTGCTAAATTTATTGGCGTGATATATATGTTAACATATAATAATAATATCACTCATATATAATGTAATGCGTGCCACCCACTTGGTGCATATTTTTTGGTCACGATTTGCAGATGAATTATTGCCGCTGTTACGGCCGTCCGATGTACTGCGTTTTGTATTATGCGAGTGCATACAATTTTAATGCAGTGATAAAAACGAGGTCATATTCTCTATAGGTAGGTGTACATTATTTGTGGGGGTGAAATCGAAATCATCAGTCTATATGTTACCGAGGTATATATTTATGTATAATATTATTATATTGCATATATTACATATATAACTCGTTCAAATTTCGATTTAGAATGCATCAACATTTTCAAAAAATCAACTGCTTAGCAATTTAAAGGAAAAAGGGTAGTTTTATCAGAAAAAAAAACTTTATAGTAGGAGCACTCTTCTTTGTATGAAATACCTTGAGTATGTAAAAAAAAAAATTAAAAATCAAAATTTGAATAAACGCATTATTACATGATAAATTGCGGTGGCTTGTGAGGAGGTGCATGCTGGACAAATTAAAATACGCATTTCTAAAATTACTCTCTGGCGTACACCGCCGTGATTATGGCTTGCAATAAAGTAAATGGTACGAATATAATGTATACATATACCTAMCTGAAACGAATATACTAATCTACAGTGGAGAAAAAAAGGAAAAATATTATATTAATCAACCGGGTGGAGTTGTATAATATAGCTATTATATGATAACAAGTATGTATATTATAATATTATTATATAAATCATATTATCCGTCGTTTGGGTACACAATATATATTTTTGTATTTTTTTTTTAATCGACAAACCGCTTTTCGTGCTCCGGGTTTAACCACGCGCGTTTTCCGTRCCGTCGTGCGTCTCATGTTCGACTGCAAACGACACCACTGGAAAAAAAAAACTTCCATGTATATTATATCCGGCGAGGACTCCGTAATTATTATTAAAAGTCCGCAGTTTCCGGCACAGATATTCATAACCGTCCGCGTGAGCACGCGTTCGTCGAACCGTGTATACTCTTAGCCGCCGCCGATCGAGTTTCGCGGTTCTCGTCCCGATGCGCGTTTTTAATAATAAATTAACCACGCATGCCTGCCGCGGCCGCTGATACGGATTATTACTATTATTATTAGGCCTACGACTGCTATGTTTTGAAAAAAAAAACCTTAAATCGTTTGTCAACCCTGCAGCAGTCG